GCTGCACCGCCGTATTCTGCATCGAACCTCCTCTCGTGAGAAAGGAGCTAGAGACGTATAACAACGTCGAGGATGGCTTTCATAGTTACTCTGATGCGCTTCGCTTCGCTTCTTCTCCCGTGACGTGCTTTCTGTTTGAAATGAGTGCTGATGAGTTTGGAAGCAGGAGCTGTCACATTCTTCCTGCCAAATCCTGAGGTGAGAGCCGCCAGAGAACGGATCCTCTCCCTAAAGAGAAGCTACTCTTGCTTCAGCTGGAAATCAAGGTGTTATTCTGCTCAAGGCTGCTTGTACATAGACTTTCGAAAAATTTACAGACATTATCAAACTGATCCAAATGCCTTGATAAATCGGTTAACTGAAAGAGGCGCTGCAGGAGGAGCCTTTCCCAAGCTGCTCTATGTTTCAAACTCAAGGGTACTTGCAAAGGATCAAGAATACGGCCAAAAGAGCCGTGAGGATATTCCTCTCGCGTTTTTCGGTCGCTTCCGCAATCCACAGCATGGCTGCATGACCAGAGACTCCTCCGAAAATAGCACATCGTTAGCCTCAAAAGAAACGCCTTCCTTCACCCGGCATCTACAGTGACGGCGGAAATGAAGTCGACGGCGGTTAGTTTGTTGTTTTTCCTTACGTGGTTTTCAGTGTGTCAAGCGAGTGTCGACTGTGTGAGTATTGCCTGCATAACTATACAAAGGAATTCATACTGAGTGTTTCTTGACAGTGCTCTTCCTTGGAACAAGCTTTACCGTCCAAAGTACTGTATCCATCGAATGCGACTTACCAGTCCACGCTCTCCTCCTATTGGTCTTTACAAGAAGCCAATCTCTCCCCATCCTGCTTCCTCGCTCCCACCTCCCCGTCCGACCTAGCACAAGCAGTTTCAGTGCTCACCGCTCCCTCTTCCTCTCACTGCAAATTCGCGATCAAAGGTGCCACACATGCGCCAGCTGCAGGATTCGCGAATATCGATGGTGGTGTAACGATTGACATGAGCCGCCTTGACTCCATCACTGTAGACGATGGAACCAAGGTGGTGTCCGTCGGTGCTGGAGCCGAATGGATCGATGTTTACAGGTTCCTTGATCCTTTGGGACTTACGGTGGCTGGTGGAAGGAATGGGGCTGTTGGTGTTGCTGGTTTGACTTTAGGAGGGGGAATAAGCTATTGGAGTCCGCAAGTAGGATTGACTTGTGATACAGTGGTCAACTTTGAGGTATGTAGTTTCTCGCTTTAAAATTACAGTGATGCTGATGTCCGTTTGAAAAGATTGTTTTGGCAGACGGAAAGCTCACGAATGTGAACGCTACTTCTCACTCAGATCTTTTCAAGGCTCTTAAAGGTGGAGCAAACAATTTCGGCGTTGTTACCCGCATCGATTACACACCAGTGCAAATTGGCCAAATACTCGGTGGCAGCGTGGTCAATTCGATTGGTCAAAGTTCAGCCATCTTTCAAGCATTCACCAATATCGCGGACTCCGCAGAATATGATGTTCATGCATCCATCGTCACTGGCCTCATCTTTAACTCCACGACCAAAAGTTGGGTAATCAGCAGCAATCCGCTTTATACCAAACCCGTCGCGCGACCAGCGGTGTACGAGGAACTCTTCCAAATACCTCAGTTAACTAACAGCTCGGCAATTCAAAACCTATCGACCCTGGCGGCGGAAGCCGCAACACGTCCATTGTGAGCATGCTCCTCTCCAATATTTGGAGCAGCCCTAAAGCAACACCGACAGGAATTGGGCGTTTTACACAGGCACTTATGGCGTATCACTTCCTTTATTGGAAAACTTCTTCAACATTGTCAACTCAACGGTGTATTCCTTTAACCCAACAGGCGGTGTGCTATGGGACATAGCATTGGAGCCTTTTCCAACTGCCATTAAAAAGCTTACAAAGAACGACATCTTCGGCATATCCCAAGAAGGGAATGATTTTGGTACGCCTGTCTTCACTCTTTTCCCCATTTACCTCACGAAAGGTGATACAGTTCTGCTTTTGACAGCAATTTGGCCCGATTCCTCCTCTTGTTCCGAGATCAGTACCCAGGCTCAGTCGCTCTTAGCTGAACTAGACAAGTCTGCGGAGGAGAGTGGGCTGCTCAGGCAATACCAATACATCAACTACGCGAACCCTTCACAGAAGCCGTTTGAGGGCTATGGTGCCAAAAACCTAGCCTTTCTGAAACAGATGAGCAAAAAATACGATCCAAAAGGTGTATTTCAGCGGCAAGTGCCAGGAGGGTTCAAGCTCTGATCAAGAGGTGAGTCTTCTTGAAGGGAAGTTTACATGGCTAACGGCTTCTTTTCATAGAACATCACGTTGATACACTTCGGAGATCGGTTATACACACAGCAGATAGAGATAATTCAAACACTTAATCCTGCTCTGATCGATTTCCAGAGAACTCTCGCATCGTTTGACTGTTGAATTCGCTTCCTCTCCTTCGCAAAGCTCTTCTTAAACTCAGCGTTGGTCTCAGCTTTGAAAGCGTTGATTCTCTCTCTCCTTCCTTTTACTACACCAGGTACGCCTCACTCAGCATGGCGCGGGTTGAAGCAGACTATCACCACGAACCGATTTCGGGAACCCGTGTCCAAAATTCATCGTTCTTGGTCTCACAATCTTGCAAAAGTTTATTCATGGCTTCGGTGACCCCGATGAGTTCAACATTGAGGTCGAGCTCTTCTTCCTTATCCGCAACTCCTCCATCATTCGCTGCGTGCAGGGCAGCACGGATCGCCTTGACAGTCCCATCCCTGTAAACACAAAGCATACCGAAGTCAGCGAGTCGCGTAGATCTCTCACTGCAGATGAGATGGCGCAGGATAACAGCGTACAAGTCTGAGGAAGCTGTGGATACTAGATTCGTGATTTCTTCGTCCAAGTCGGAAAAGATTTGTTTGACGTCGCGTTCGAAAAGAAGAGTGGATTGAACTTGTGACTTAGTCGGTTTCGCTTCTTCAAGAAAGGGAATAACAGTGAGCGGTCCTGTGCGGAGGGAAGGGATTATCACTCTTGAATAAAGTCATCACTGCCAGGCTAAAGGAAAAGTCAGCCCATGTTTTCATTGGATTGAGAGGAACCGGGAATGGTTTGCAATGTCCAAGCAAGCAAGAACGACTCAACAAATGACCTCGTGGGGAGAAAACGCGTCAAAACCCCTTTGTATTCCATAGAACCCACACTTGCAGCTCGCCTACCATGCAACGTCTTTTTCATCCCATGCCAAACCTCACCACTAACAACGCAGATATACATACTCCTCTAGCTCTCTCGAAGAAAAAGATTGAACTCACTCATCCTCATCCATTTCGTCATCCATTTCCTTCCTCTTTGTCCAAGCCATACCTGCCTTCGAACTCGCTCCGTTCCCAGCGGTTACCGTAGAAGCTGCCAAGCCTGTTTTTCCACGTATTTTTGGAGGCATGGTGACTTTTTCTTAGAGAAATGCCTCAGCGCAGAAGAGGTGTCGTAGAATGAAAGGGAGATTGTGAAGTGGCAGTTTTTGCTTGCCTGGACGCGTGTGTAATTTAGACTTTTGACGCGTTCCCAACTTTTTGAATGTCGAACTTGGTCGAACGCGACATTAATCAAGGTTACAGTAATCCAGGCTACATTGACCCTGACATCGGCTCTTTAGAGGAAGCTGAAATTGTAGGAGGCACGATGCAATCAATCGTTATGGCCTATCATCCCTCGGATTCTTTGAACAAGCGGAATCACAAAATCCAATAAAGCCACTGCTTATTGACCCCATGACAAAGAGTGCGTACAAATTCCTACTCCTCCTTCCGTTTCCCCTTATTGCCACCCACCACTGAACTCCCTGGCAGCGGTTCAGGTCCGACCCCCAATTGCAACCTCACACTCTCCCTAATAAGTCGCTCATAACCGTCTTTGTCCGTCCTCAGCAGCTTACATGCGTCTACGTTTGCACCGGATTCGACATTAGGTTCTATCCATATCAATTAGCTTGCTTAAACGATTTTGAATAGTGACGTTAGAGCGAAGAGTAACATACCGGCCAACATGCTCACAACGCTCAACAGAATCTTTTCCACGCTCTGTACGGGCGACCAGCGTTCTGATGAGGACTCATACATGTTCGGATCGTCGCCTGGAGGATGGAGGATTGAAATGCAAACTTCTCCAGATGCGTAGATGTTAGGGTGGAACAGCGGTGGGTGGAATTTCATCTGTTTCCAACAAAGTGGACGTCAGTCACCACTTTCTTCTTGCCTTAATGTGGGTAATGCAAGGAAAGAGGGGAAAAGTGCTCATTGGCACCAGAGATGACCGAGAACAAGGTGCATTGTCGTACCACTCTATCCCTTCCTCCCATGAGAGAATAACAACGTACCTTCGGTGGCATTAAGGGGTACTCCTTCGGAAACTCCAGCGTTGCTAGAAACACACCTCCCTCGAAAGGAGTGCCGTCTGGAGCACGAATGAGGCATTCCCAAGTGAAGAAGTTGGACTCGGATATTGGACCAGCGAGGAACATTGGCTCCTCGTTAGAGTTAGAAGAGGAGGAAGTGAGCTGTTTGTACTCCGTCATGAGCCGCCGCAAGGCGGTAGATGCTTGTGTACGGGAAGTGGATTGCATGTTATGCTTGTGGTGATCCTGGGTGAAGGATGAGCTGGATTGTTGCAGCTGAGATAGATAGGATCATACAGCGTCTTGGAGGTGCAACAATGGATTACAAGAACTCGTGAATACCTCAAGAAACCTCTCAAAGCAGGGCAGAGCTGGTTCTAGCGTGGAGTTGAGTGTCGTGGTGTTGTATGCATTACATAAGCAAGACTTTCACGAACACTGGAAAAGCAACGGATATGTGCATCGAGATTACTTAGGATTGCTCGTTCCCACCTGTCCTGGAAAAGTTCTAGTCAATGCTGATGCTGAGAGCGATATTAAGCCGCTGTCAAAAGTCAAAAGAGAAGCTGAAAGTACCAAAATATGCACTTAAGCAAAGAACGGCCAAAAAGATGGTCACTGGCGGGCTCGAACCGCCGACCTTGGACTGTGAACTTTTATTAGGTCCACATTCTAACCAACTGAAATAAGCGACCATTGCTTATTGTTGACACCGGCGGTGTTAACTATGTACAGTACATTTACGTTGCACTTGTCGTTTTCCACATCCATGCTAATTTCCATCCATCTTTATCCTGTAAACGAACTTTACAGCCTACAACAGCGACAGCCTCCGTTGAAATGCATGAAGAGGCCATGGGCGTCAGGAATACTGCCACCGCTGCGGCTCATCTGACCCGCCTGTTGGAGGTTGAGCCGTGACGGGCAGAGGGTTTTTCCTGATCAGATAAAACAAAAGAAGCCCAAGGCTTCAGTTGAGGCACTCAGTCTTCACCATTTGAACTTCGAAACTGCTGTGATTGTCAGGATGGCTGAGAAATTTAAGGAAGAACTGGATGTGTTGATAATTGGAGCTGGACTAGTACATTTCTTCCTCCACACGACCATCTTCCGATTGCTGAGAACCTGGTTGGACAGGCAGGATTGAGCACGGCTCTTTCCCTCGCCCGTAAAGGCTTTAAGAAAATAACTGTAATTGAGCAAGCTCCTAATCTCGGGATCGTAGGGGTTGGAATCCAAGTTCGTCTTCTCCTTCCTTTTCGTTGCAAACTCGCTGACTTTGTGAAGTGTGCTCCAAACATGTCAAGAATTCTGGACAACTTGGGGATATATCAAGATGTGAAAAGCGGCTCTGTGCCTTTACTGAGCACCTCCATCCGCCGTCTGGCTTCCGCCTCCTCTAGAACTTTCATGGCATTATTGACTTCTTGATGGATAGGCGGCACAACCGACGAGAGTCTCTCCGAAGTTGACCTCACGTCCATCCAGGAGAAATATGGCTATCCACACATGGTAAGACCTCCCACCTCCTGTCCGCATCTCGCTGCTCACTTCACTTTGCATTGCTATTAACAGGTCCTCCATCGTGCCTGTCTCATCGAAGCCTTCTATAACTGTCTCGTCAAGGAATATTCTTCGGCTGTAACGTTCGAATTCAACTCCAGAGTGAAATCCATCGATCTCGATAATGTCACCGTCGATTTCTTTGGCTCTGACAAGAAGATGTCTGGCGATTTGTTGATTGCTGGTGATGGAGTGAAGAGCAGCGTGCGAAAAACAATGTTGCAGAGGAAGGGGCAGGAGGATCATGGTCTGTCTTTCTCGCCTTGAAGATCGCTATTGAATGATCGTGGTCAGCTGTCGATACTGGACAGGCAGCTTACAGGATTACTCTCACCAGAGAGCAGATGGCGGATGATCCAGACCTCAAGAAATTAATCGAAGGGAACGTTGTAATACGCTGGATCTCTCCAAAACAACACATTATCGTCCGCCATCCCTCGCACTACATGACGTTCACTAACTTAGTGCCTCATGAGGATAGTGTTACCCAATTGAACGAAACGAGGTATTCAACATCTCGACTGTCCAACCCGACGTCAACTTCGCCGCTGCGGACGAATGGATGGTGAATGCCTCCAAGGCACAGATGCTGAAAGTATTTAGCGACTACTGCCCTTTGGTCCAGAAGATGTTGGCGAAGAGCCAAGAGGATGGAGTGTGCGAATGGAAGTTGAGGGTGCATGGGAAGTTAGACAGCTGGGTGGAGGGGAACGTGGCACTCGCTGGTGTATGTCTCCTTTCAGATTTGAAGAAGAATGAAGCTTGGCTCATGGATTGCTTTGGAACAGGATGCATGTCACGCAACCCTCCCGCATTTGGCTCAAGTTAGTCCTCGTCTCCTAATTTCATGGAAGAGAAGGAGCTGAGACGAAACAGGGAGCAGCACAAGCTATCGAAGACGGTGCAGCCATCGGCGTGTGCCTCTCCAAGATTTCCTCAAAATCAGACGTGCACGCTGCTTTGAAAGTGTATCAGGTATCTTCCTTCCTTTCTCTCTTCGTCATCCTCGATATCAAGGCTAATATATATCCGCACAGCGTATCCGCAAGTCCCGCGCCGAAGACCTCGTCGAGACGGCCGCCGCTGCAGGACGTGACCTGCACAAAGGCTTAGACGACGCGAAGGAGCGCGACGAGCGCTTCAAGAAGGTGGCTGGTGGGGGTGAGAACCCGGATCGATGGGCTGACCAGTGCGTCTCCTCTCTGGTCAGGTGTGAGAAGAATGATTTATTGACGATTCTCTGAGCAGGAAGGTGCAGGAGAAGATCTATGGTCATGACGTTGTTGCGGAAGCAGAAAAATACTTTGAGGAATATTTTGCAAAGGAGAAGAGGGCAGATTCACCCTCTAGATTGTAACTGGGCAAAATCGAATCGTTCGTGATCGAGCAATTCAGCAGGTGGAGATGCAAGTTTGTGGATGCCCTTTTCATTCCGTATTTGGTCAGTGTTATTAAGTTGTACTACGTCTGAAATATATCTACTTGCTATACAACGAGAATCCGGACAGATTTAAGAAATGTCAGTGCGCCAGAGTGATCCAATCTCCCACTGCTCTCGCAGGGAGGTGGACCAAAGAGCACACTCTTCATCTCGACCATCTCTCCCTACTCCGATACATAGGTAACGGGCATCAGCCGTTCCTTCCCCCATACTGTAAGAAAAGGGGCAAGTCAAGCTGAGATGGTCGTTGGAAGAAAATTTGCTGTTTACGGATGTCCGTATTTGTCTCTTGGGGACGGCTCTGATTGGTCCAAAATTGCCCGACTGCCCAGCTATCCTTTGCGAACGCAAACAAACGACGACCGCTCCAACTGTCCTTTTCAGCAGCAAAGAGAGAGATAGGAGATGTCTCAACCCACCCCTACCCGAACGAAAGCACACAAAGTTCCTGCACCCGTAAAATCGGTGCCAGTGAATGTGGTCCACGTAGGCGGTAACAAGGCATCAAATTCGAGGAATTCTCGCAAGAAAGCTTCGAAAGGTGGCAATGGGGGTTGTTGGGCTTTCTTCCTGGTCGTGTTGGCGCTATTTGGCGGAGTGGTCAAGTGGTACGATGGGAAGATGGTTCGTTTCTCTGCTGTTCTAACGTTTGATTAAAGATGTTTACCAAAGGCGAGCAGAAAGATTCTTACATCTTCGACCACAACCATCTGAACGTCCTCGCTAACCGAGCCATTGCCTCAGTCCTATCTCCATCCTCTCCCGTTCATCCCGATGAATCATTGGCTTACCCGTCGAATTACTCGATTGTAGCTCCACACCGCTACCCCTCCGCCATGTCCGCCTCTCAAAGTCGGGCGATATTCGATGCCCTCGTTGCTGAGCTCAAGCTGAGCTATCCTGAGTGGACCCTCAATTTGAACGAGGAATGGGTATTCAACAATGCCGGTGGAGCCATGGGAGCGATGTGGATTCTGCATGCGAGCATCAGCGAATACTTGATCATTTTCGGTCAGTTTTGCCCGTGGCACTTCTACTACCCTTTTCTTTATTCCTCCCTTAGTGAATTCGAGACTCACTTAATGCTGTTTTACGTATGTAGGCACTCCTCTGGGAACTGAAGGCCATTCCGGTCGTCACCTCGCGGACGACTACTTCACCATCCTGACAGGAGAACAATGGGCCTATGCTCCAGGCCCTGGGGTGGCAGGAGCGTCTAAGCAGGTTTGTTTCCTCTCGTCCCCTTCCTCTTCTTTGCAAATAACACGTGGTTGTCTAGGTATACCCGCCAGGAAGCACGAACCATTTACCCCGAGGACAAGTGATCCAGTACAAGATGCATGACGGATGCTTTGCTCTTGAATTGGCCCAGGGATGGATTCCTTCCATGCTTTTCTTTGGATTTGCCGATTACTTTACAAGCGTGCTTGATTGGGAGACGCTTTATAATACCGTCAGAATCACGATTCGGGAGAACGTCAAAAATGCTTGGATGGGCAAGTTTTAGAACGTCCTTAGTCATATTTATTGAGATTGAGTATGTGCTTCATATTGCTTGATAGCTCACTGCATAATAATCATTGATATACCTTATCACTGAGCCGATGAATTATATTCATTTGAAAGCATTACATTGCAAAAATTGTAGTGGTTTGTCTAGACGCGGCATCTAAATACTCGATTCTGATTGGTTGGCCATCCCGCGTTTGGTTGGACAACATCTCGCGCGCTCATTGGCTCCATTTGGTCGTGTCCTTAGCCAAGGAAGTATGGAGAACCGGGACATATAAAAGCGGTCCTTCAGTAGAAACCAGCAGAAAATATTGAACACTCGTTACATTCACTTGCAAACGTATTCTCGACCAACAAAGATGCCACGCTCGCCTGCTGCTGTTCATCAGTCTTCTCAGGCACCTCCTGCCTACAGACCTGGGAAGAAGGTAGAACCTGAAAGAATGGGGTGGAAAACATTTGTCGCTGCAGCTGTAGCGGTCCTTATTGCTCTCATCCTCTGGAAGGACAGGACCATGGTTCGTCCAATACTCACCACCTCGATACTTCCTCTCTCATTCCCTAACGCAGAAGGACAACTACGTCTTCTCCCCACAAACGCTGAACGAAATAGCGAACCGAGCTCTGATGCGAACTCTGCCTCTATCTTCCGATCCATCAGACCTCGCAACGATCGAGCCGTATCCCTCTCCACATTCGATCCAAGCGCCAGCTTCGTACGTTCGAAGGACGAGCGCGAACCAGACGCGAGCGGTGTTCGATGCGGTCGTCGAAGAGATGGAGAAGGTGTATGGGGGGAAGGTGAGGCTGAATACGAGGGAGGAATGGGCGTTCAATAACGCTGGAGGAGCGATGGGGGCGATGTGGGTCCTTCATGCTAGCTTGACGGAATATGTGATGATCTTCGGTTCGTATCCTTTGCATCTCGAGATACTGTAGATGTGTGTTGATTGAGGTGTGATATCGGGAAGGCACTCCACTCGGGACGGAGGGACATAGTGGCCGGTATCCCTTGGTGGACGATTATTTCACAATTCTCGTAGGGGAAGAATGGGCCTACCTCCCTGGCAATGGCGCCGAAGGCGTGCGCAAACTCGTGCGCCACTCCTCTCCTCTATCCAACAGCAACATTAATGAAGTACGTGGCGCAGGTCTACCCGCCAGGCTCGACGAACCACC